CCCGGCGAGACGCAGCAGCAGGAGAAACCCCAGGCTCAGCAGCTCCAGACGCAGCACCCCCAGGCTCAGCAGCTCTCAGCTCAGCACCCCCCGGCTCAGCAGCTCCCGACCCAGCACCCCCAGGCTCAGCACCTCCAGGCACAGCACCCCCAGGCTCAGCACCCCCAGGCTCCGCACCCTCCGCAGTAGTACCCTCAGGCCCAGCACCCCCAGCAGTAGCACCCCCAGGCTCAGCACCCCCACGCACAGCACCCCCAGAGTCAGCACCCCCAGGCTCAGCACCCGCAGCAGCACCAGAGTCACCAGTAACCTCGACCGGGTCAACGGCGTCTACCTGGGACACACCTGAGGGGGCAGGAACCTGAGGGGGGAGAGGGTCTACCGGGGGGGGAACCGGCACAAGGAAGTCTGGGGGAGGGGGGAGGGAAGGAGTGCGGTAGGGGAAGAGACGGTAGAAGGGGACCGACTCGTCGAACGTGACGTCCTGGGAGGACAGAACACAACGAGAGGAGGGGTGGTAAAACTGCCACCCTGGGTCGTCAGTGGGGAAGCCAAGGAAGACACAGGGAGCAGCACGAGGGGACAGCTTGTCCGCAGACAAGTCGCGGACAAACGCCCGAGATCCCCAGATACGGAACACAGACGCATCGCCAACCTTCCCCGTCCACAGCAAGGCTGGGGACATCGCAGGCCGAGAGACCCGGGGGTGAAGGTTGAGCTGATGCGCCGCGTACCTCACCGCAAACGGCCACAGAAAATGGGGGGCAGCCGCATGCATCATGGACGTACGAGCGACATCCATGACCATGCCAATGCGGCGCTCAGCAATCCCATTTTGCTGTGGTGAGTCCGGAAGCGTGAAGGTCTGGCGAATCCCCCGTGCACGACAGTAGTCCCGCAGAAGGCGAGAAGAGAACTCTCCGCCTCTGTCCGAGTGCAGACGCAGAACAGGAAAGTCTGAGCCGAAGCTCTGCCTGAGCTGGAGACGAGCCTCGCGGATCCAGTCGATCAGCACCTCAGTGACCGCACCCTTGCTGCGCAAGGGGAGGACTGTGGTGTAACGCGAGTAGTCGTCAACCACCAACAGGAAGTAGCGCTCGTAACCCTGCCCACGGACGGGGGCTGGGCCCCACACATCCATGTGAAGCGTCTGCAGGGGAGCCTCTGTCGGGGGGAAGTGGGAGGAGTGAGGAGTAGCCCGGAGGCGACCCTCGACACAGGGGACACAGGAAGGTCCTGGCCCGGAGGGGAGAGGAGGGAGAGACTGGGGAAGACCAGAGACAAGGACACGGGAAGCCATGCTCCGAAGACGGGGCAAGGAGGGGTGTCCAAGACGGTGGTGCCACAGGAGAGTCTCGTGAGACAGGAAGCGACAAGAACAGGGGGCAGACTCAGGACCTGACCGGGACGCAGCAGCAAGCACCTGACCCGACGCAGCCACCTGACCAGACGCAGGGACAGGAGGAGACTCAACGGTCAGGGTGTAGAGACTCGACCCCGGCCGACGCGAGAACGTGGCCAGGTGTCGGCCTGTGCGTGCCTCCGTGCAGTGGGTCACCCGCTGACTCGCAGGAGTGAACTGGTGAACCCCCACATCCTGCAGGTCCGCTCCACTCACCAAGTTCGTAGAGAACGAGGGAAGGTACAGACCCGACAGGGTGCCCGAAGGGGCAGCCGGACACGGGAGGACAGTGGAGAAGTGAGACAGGACAGGACCCCCAGAGGGGTCAGCAAGGGAGACCGCAACCGGCCGGCCGAGCGGCGTAAGGGTAGTGCGGTCTCGAAAGAAGGAGCGAGAAGCTCCGGAGTCAAGTGTGAAAGTGAGGGAGGACGAGGACGACGCAGTACCTGAGAGCGCAGTCTCACCAGTACCTGAGAGCACAGACGCACTGGCACCTAGAGCAGCAGCCTCACAAGCACCTAGCGCAGCAGTACCAATGCCCGGGTCGGGCTGGAAACAACGGTAACCCTCATTCTCCTCACTATAATCCACAACATACATAGCAGCAAGGATAGCATCAAAATCAAGATCAAAGATCGCTACACCAGCCCTGAGAAGCTCATCCCAGCGAGGGATCTCACTAGCCCCAGGGAACTGCTGACGCCAAGCATCCGTCAGGCGGCCAAAGCAGCGATGGGTGGCGTGGGCACCCCCACACTGCTCACCCGCGCGGTCGCCGGAACGAAGAACGTAGGTGCAGGGACCAGTACCCCCACCCCTCTGACGCCCAGCGTACCACTCACGAAGCTGCTGAGGCGGAGGGATGTCCCGCGAGCGCTGCTGCTGCTGCCGCTGCGAGCGCTGGCCACCACCACCGCCGCTACGCTGCTGGGTACCACCTCGACCAGCTCCACCTCCTCCACCACCACCGCCTCCTCCGCTGCCGCCTCCACCGCCTCCACCTCCGCCGCCTCCACCGCCGCCGCTGCCTCCACCACCACCGCTGGCACCACCACCACCGTCTCCGCCACTGCTGCCACCACCACCACCACCCCCGCCACTAGTCCCGCCGCCACCCCCACTCCCTCCGCCGCCACCGCCGCCACCGCCACCGCCCCCTCCAGCTCCACCCGCGCCCTTGCCCCCCTTGCCCTTGCTGGAGCGACGTCTCCCACTAGGGGCAGACGCCGCGCCGACCGACTCAAGACCAAGCAGGTCGGCAGCAGCAGCAGAGGAAACAGAGGGCAGCAAGGGGGAAGGAGAGCACCCCTCAAAGATGGGGGTGCGAGGGTCACCACGAGAAGCACCTACAGCGACTATGCTCTTCTCCGCTGCGAGGAGGGCCTTCTCGAGGAGGTCGACGGTGAGGGTGGTGGGACAGACTGCGAGAAAGTGGTCCCTGACGACGCGAAGGGAGTCAGGGAGGCGCGCGACTACGTAGTAGAGAGCGATGTACATGGGGGGGGGGTTCTTAGCGCAGAACTCAGCAGGAAGGGCGGCGCGGTAGCGAGTGTCACTAGTGCGGAGGTGCGTAATGAGGTCAGCGACAGTGGGAAAGGCAGAGAGGTCAGGAAAGAGGTAGGGAAGCATGAGACGGCTCAGTGCAGCAGTGGCAGGGGAGGAGTAGCGCGCAACTACAGCGTCGTACAAGGTCTGAGCACTCTTGTACTGACTAAAGTGCGCACGCTCAGAGGTAGGGAGGTGGCGACGCACAACAAGACGTGCAGCAGCATCGCGGGTGGCCCACTTAGAGCGGACAGTGGGATCAGCATCAGCAGCAGGAGCAGGAGATGCGCCAGAGGTGAGGTCAAAGAGAGAAAGGTCGTCAGCCCTGTCGCACTGTAAGAACAGCTGCAGGTCGTCTAACCAGACCTCAAAATCAATGGCGCGACCCTCAGCGTCAAAAGCTAGGACACTAGGGGTAGCCATGGCGACGACAGCGACGCAGTGCAAGCAGTAGGGAAAGAGCTCGCAGTGTCAGTGGGACTGTGCTCACCAGGCAGGGCAGGTCGTGCAGCTATGGAGAAGGGCGGCTCAGCGACCGGGCGGCTCGGGTGCACAGCGGCTCGGCTCCCGGGCGGCTCGGCGGCTGGGCGGCTCGGGCGCAGGGCGGCTCGGCTCCCGGGCGGCTCGGCGGCAGGGCGGCTCGGGTGCAGGGCGGCTCGGCTCCCGGGCGGCTCGGCAGCAGGGCGGCTCGGCTCCCGGGGGGTTCGGCTGCTGGGGCGGCTCTGCTGCTGGGGCGGCTCGGCCGGGAGATGCAGGGGCGGGGCCGTCAGGTGCAGCGGCGGGTCGGCAGGTGCAGTGGCGGGGCCGTAGGGTGCAGCGGCGGGCCGACCAGGTGGGGCGGCGGGCCGTAGGGTGCAGCGGCGGGCCGTGGGGTGCAGCGGCGGGCCGGCAGGTGCAGCGGCGGGGCCGTCAGGTGAAGCGGCGGGCCGCTGGGTGCAGCGGCGGGCCGGCAGGTGCAGCGGCGGGCCGGCAGGTGCAGCGGCGGGCCGGCAGGTGCAGCGGCGGGGCCGTCAGGTGAGGCGGCGGGCCGTAGGGTGCAGCGGCGGGCCGTAGGGTGCAGCGGCGGAGCCGGCGGTGGGGCCGCGTCAGGGGAGGCGGCGTGGCCGCAACGAAGCGGGCGGCAGGGCCGCGTCAGAGCCGGCGGAGCGGGGCCGCGTCAGTGGAGGCGGCGGGGCCGCGTCAGTGGAGGCGGCGGGGCCGCGTCAGTGGAGGCGGCGGGGCCGCGTCAAGCAGGCGGCGGGGCCGCGACGAAGCTGGCGGCGGGGCCGCGATCAGGAGAGGTGGCGGGGCCGCGTCTGAGGGACAGCGGGGCCGCGAGGGAAATGGCGACCCGAGGGGTCGCTAAAAAAAAGGCGCGCCTCGGGGCGCGCTTCGGTGGGCCCTAAAAAAAAACGGTCCTAAGAAAGGACCCGCTCTATACCATGAGAAAGAAGTGAACAGGAATGATGAATGACTAAGGAAAGATTGGGTACAAATACAACCCTAGAAACCCTGTACCCTATATGTGCTACCCCACTATAGCCTACAAACATGCATCAGCTATAATACTCTGACACTAGCGGGCTGCTCGTGAGGTCCTAGCAAGAGGTTCGCGGGTCGCGTGGGCTGCAGCAACAGCGAAAAAAAGGAAAACCACGCGTGGGCAGTGAGCCACACGCGGGCAGGGAAGTAGGTGGGGTACCGCGGTAACAAGGTGGGCCCGAAATTCTAGGTCCTAAGGACCTCCTACTCTGATAGCATATCGAGATAGTAGGAGCAGTGAATGAGATGACTATCGAGAGAGTTGGGTACAAAATAGGAACAAAGGGTTGTACCCCATAGTGGCTACCCCACTACAGCCTAGAAAAATAACCTAAGGATATATGTTTGACAGTTAGCGTTGACACACACTGCTGCAGCCAATGGTAACGTATCACCTTCTTCCAAAACTTCTTTGCCACGGCTCACATGTGACATGTGATCATATCTGACTCACACCACTGCAATTGCTACATGATGTTGTAGGCGTGCTGCTGCTGTCGGCACGTAGTGTTGGTTGGTACACACTACTGCTATGCCTGTACAACAGGGCATTTCAATGTATGTATGTTCATCTACTGTCGTGTACTAGACTGCCACAAATGGCTCACTTTGACTCTCTCAGAATAAATGACGTTGGGAGCATCTGGGTGACCTAGCCGAATGACAACTTTGAAGCGTTCAACTTGGGTGGTTGTTGTACAGGTTGGTCAGGGCACAGCTATCAAGCTTTTAGGATACAAACAAACAAACAGACAAAATAATAAATAGTATTATTTAATATAAAACTTGTTGAACAAGTAGGACCGTATATATGGGCTGGATTATATTACTCAGCAACTGCAGGTGGCGGGGAGGTGTGTGTGTGGCACAGCGTATATTGACCCAGCAGACCCGCATCATGCCCTGAGATGCAAGCACCAGCACGGTCCATCTCGGGTGCATGATGAGGTGAAGTTTGCAGTGGCGAGGATTTCTAAGGCGTCAGGGGGAGTGGTGACGATGGAGGATAGTGCGGTGATGCCGGGGAAGCGGGTTGACGTAGCAATGCAACAACCGATGGCCGGGGAGGCTCACGCTCTGGAGATCAGCGTCGCGGACCCTGTATCGCTGTCTCCATCCCTGCTAGGGCAGTGCGGGCATTCCATAGGTGTGGCGGCAAGGGAGTGGGAGCGTCGCAAAGCGAGTGATTACGCGCCTTTGCTTGCACGCAACCGGGGCATGCAGTTTACCCCTTTGATAGTAGAGACGTGGGGGTGTCTCTGCGGTCGCTTCCGGCGGTGGCTTCGACAGCAGGGGGATGCGCACGTGGGGCTAGCTGTGTCATGGGGGGTTTGTCGGGAGGATGACACATCGTTTTCGGCTTACCTTTTGGGGTCTCTGAAGGCGCTCATCGGGGTGGCGTTGCAACGGGCGCAAGCTCGTGTGATCCTGCTTCGGGCGGCGTCTTCCATGAAGGGGATGAATGTGGATTTGGTGGATCGGGAAAAGGACGACATCGAGGTGGAGAGCGGGGCTCTTTGGGTGGTGGCCCCGTACATGGTGGATGCGCGGATGTGACTGGGGGGGGGGGGGGGGGGGGGGGGAATGGGGTGCGGGATGGGGTGTCTCGATGGGGTGTCATGACTGGGTGTTGCGATGGGGTATGTTGATGGGGCCTTTTATGCGGGTTGCGTTTGGATTTTTGTTGGCAGTTTCCTTTCCTTCTCCCTTTCATTCTCCACCTCCCTTCTCCTTCATTTATGTCTCTCTTTCCCTTTTTCCTCACGTTTGGTCTTCTATTCCTTGACACTATGCCTAACAATAAGAGACGTATGAAGAAAATTCATGTATATGTTCGCGTTTCTAGACATTTCCTTTTAATCAGACGAACGAACACAGCAAAGACTCAGTTTGACCCAGCGTTGCGTTATCGAGCAGCTAGCGCTGTAGAAGCTCGACAGCTGTTACGGGTGCAATGGACGAGGTAGCAAGGATTGCACTAAAGGTTTCAAACGAGTACAAAATGTGAGCGAAGGCATGAGCGAACATTTATACGTGAAACATGCAAACGGTAAAGCGGTGCGTGCGAGCTAGCTAGTGCTATGCTGGACGCGAGGCTTGGGCTAGTCCCGAAGCGTAGGCCGACACGACCAGGCCAGCAGTGCGAGGTTTGGTGAAACAGTGCGCACGAAGTCGGCGAAGCCCCGTTAGCAGTAACGGGCAAACAGCGGCTGCTGCTGTACGCGATGTTGCAGGGTGCGCTAAGGAATATCGAGAAAATTCCTTACACTACCCCCCCCCTCAAGAAGCCCCCTCCGCTACGCGAGTGCGTGTATATCGCGGAAGCCCCGGCTCCTCAGGTACACTTGCAGGGCAGGGTGGTTTTCAATGTTGGCCAGGGGCACCCAGCTGTCCTCAGTTGGCGTGCGATCCTTCCAGCGAACGAGGAATTCAATCCTTTTAATTCCCGTGGGGTGTCGAATCCGGTGGCTCAGGATTTTCTCGGGCTCGATGATCGGCTCCGATGCAGGGCGAGTCATGGATGGCCGGCGGTGGCGAGGCAGTTGGCTTGTGGTTGGGATGTATGGGCAAAGCAAGCTGACGTGGAACGAAGGGCTGATGTACCAGTCGGTCGGTAACAGTAGGTGCACGGTTACTGGCGTGATCATGTGGCTGATTTGGAATGGGCCACAGTAGCGCGGTCGAAGTTTTGGTACGTCGGGCAGTCGCAGATTTTGCGTGTCGAGCAGTACGTAATCCCCTGACTGGTATGTGACTGGGCGGTGGTGGCGGTCAGTGTTGCGCTTAGCGATGACGTTTGCTTTTTTAATTGCTTCTGCGGCTCTGGTGCGGGCAGCTTGCAGAATTTCGGCGAATTGCTGTGCACGTGGTGTTGGGTTGTCCGGACTCGGCGTCATGGGCACTGTAGGATTTTGCCCGTAGTTCAGGTAGAAGGGGGACAGCTGCGTCATCGCTGACGTGGCCTTGTTGTACGCGAACTCGATCAGCGGCAGCTGCTGCTCCCAAGTCGTGGGGTCGTCGCACGTGGCACGAATCAACTGCTCCATCGTCTGATTCTTCCGCTCCGTTTGACCGTCGGTCTCGAGGTGGTACGACGAACTGAACTGTAGCCTGATCCTGAACTGCTCCCAGAGGTTCTTCCAGAAGTTGCTGGTGAACTTCGTGTCCCTGTCGCTGATAATCGCTACTGGTATCCCGTGCACGCGAACAACGGCTGCGATGAACAGGCGAGCGGTCTCCTCGGCTGAGATCGATTTTTTTTCACGCAGCGAAGTGTGCCATCTTCGTCAACCTGTCAACGACGACCATCACCGCGTCGTTACCCCCAGGGTTGGAAGGTAACCCTATGACGAAGTCCACGATAACCTGCTGCCAGGCGCGCTCGGGCGGTGGTATCGGCTGCAATTGACCCGCCTTCCGCTTCCTCGAGCTCTTCATCACCTGACACGTGGGGCACGATCCCACGTGCTGCTGCACGTCGGTCAACAGCTCCGGCCAGTAGTAATACCGCTGCAGTTGCTGTCGCGTTTTTTCTACCCCGAAATGTCCCGAGGTAATCCCGTCGTGTGCATCCTGTAGTAACAGTTCCTTCAGTAGTGAGTACGCGGGTACCCAGATGCGGTTGGTGCCTGTTTTTACGTAATAGACTTCTCTGGCCTCTGCCAGTTGCTGTGAATTTCCGGTCGTGAAAAATGGGTTGGTGCTGTATCCGTGGGTGAATAGGCCTGTTAACAGTGGGTTGGTTTGGGCGAGTAAGATGGCATGGCGTTGGGCGGTAGGGCGGGTGAGTGCGTCGGCGATGTTGGATGTGCCTTTCTTGTACGTAACCGTGTAGTGGAAGTTGGACTCGAGGTAGTCCAACCAGCGAATCTGTCGCGGATTGAGATTTGGTTGGGCGCGTTGGTACTGTTGTGATCGGTGGTCTGTCCGTACTGTCACGTCAGCGCCAGTCAGGGAACACCGCCAAACCTTGAACGCGTGCATGATCGCCAACATTTCGCGGTCGTGTATCGGGTAGTTGCGTTCGGGCGGGTGCAGCTTGCGGGATCCGTACGCGATTGGCTGGAGGCCGTTCCCAAAATCCTGCAAGAGTACTGCTCCCACAGCGATGTCACTTGCGTCAGTGACGAGCTCGAACGGACGGTGTGGATCTGCGATGTGAAGCACGGGCGGTGAGCACAAAATATTTTTGAGGGCCGAGAAGGCAGCTTGCTCTTTCTCCCCCCACGTGTACTCAACCCCCTTCCTCAGCAGGTCACTCAACGGAGCAGTCAGCTTCGCCATGTCGGGGACGAACCGGCGCACGTAATTGACGAACCCCAAAAAACTCTGCAACTCGGTCAAGTTGGTCGGCGCGTGCCATGCTTGAATCGTCGCGATCTTCTTCGGGTCTATTTCCACTCCTCCAGCTGAAATAACGTGTCCCAAAAACTCCAGGCGGTCCTGTAAAAACTCACACTTAGACGCTTTTTTCAGTAGGCGGTTCTCACTTAGTATTTTAAAAACTGCTTCGATGTCCTTTAAGTGCTATGCTCTGTTAGGGCTGTAAATCAGGATGTCGTCCAGGTATACGATGACGAACTTATCTAAGAGCGGGCGGAAAGCTTCGTTCATGGTCATTTGAAAAGTGGCGGGGGCGTTGGTCAGTCTGAAGGGCATGACGGTGTATTCGAAGGATCCGTAGCGTGTGCGAAATGCGGTGCGGATTGACGCGAATCTGGTGGTAACCCCCTCGGAGGTCGATTTTCGAGAAAACCTGGGCTGTGCGCAGTTGGTCAATCAGTTCGTCGGCGCGCAGGATGGGGTAACGGGATTTGATGGTAACCATGTTCAGTACTCGGTAATCTATGCACATGCGAAATCCCCCGTCTTTTTTCGGTGTGAACAGTATCGGTGATGCGAAGGGCGACGAACTAGGGCGAATTATTTCCTTCTCGAGCAGGTAATCGAGCTGCTTCCTCAGTTCGTCCAGTTCGGGCTGGGTCAGTCGAAACTGTCGCTGTACTATTGGCTGTGCCCCCGGTTCTAACTCTATCCTGTGGTCGTGCGGTCGCTGCGGTGGCAGTCCCGTCGGTAAATCGTCCGGGAAAATGTCGCTGTACTGCTTCAACAGTGCTGCCAGGTCACTCAGTACGTCGGCCAGCAATTTCTGTAAATCCCCTCCCTTGTCTGCTGCCTCGGCTTCCCGAATGTCCACCGCGTACACGTCAGCTCCTGCCGCTACGGCGCGTTTCATTGTGATCGCGTTGACACGCACCGACGAAGACTCCGGCGAGCCCCAGCGAGGTAAGGCGATGTTGTTATCGTTCACTCGCACGGTGCAGTCACCCGTCGTCCAGTCGATTCGTGGATTGTGTCGTCGCAGCCAGTTACGCCCGAGTAAAATATCGGTTCCGTCGAGGGTCGTTGCGAGCATTTCCTAGCTAAACGTGCAGTTACCCCCACATCAAATCCGAACCCGGTCTACACGTTCCCGTATCGCTAGTGGCATGCCGTCTACCAGTCTTGCGTCGATCTCAGGTAAACATCTGTCCTGTGGGAGTCGCAGTTTTCGTGCTGTGGCAGTGTTGATGAGGCTGTGGCTGGCACCCCCGTCTACGAAGATTTTAACTAAGTCAGTCCCAATTTTCCCACTAAGCAGTATGGGGCTATCTACCATGGTCCCCTCCTTATTCGGTCGAGTGAGGTCGATTGCGTGAACCAGCACAATCACTCGGTGAGGGTCGGTTGGGTCGAGCGAGCGGCGTGACCTGTCAGTAGAGGGCCCGTCTGCTACTGACGCCCAGCGTTTCCCTGCTGCTTGGTCTTTTTCTGCTGCTCAGCTTCCCCCTTTCCCTTAGCGTTTTCCGGGCATTCGCTCTTGCGATGTCCCGGCCGATTGCACGAAAAGCTGCGCCCTTTGAATGGTGCGGCAGCGGCATTTGCGACGACAGCAAGTATCGTGGCGCCCTCGTTCGTCCCACGAGGCCGATGTCCCCAATTGCTGCTTGCGTAGGACCCCGGTCTCGGTCGGCGGAAGAAATCGAGTTTCTCCGCCATGGCGAGAATCTCCTGAAAATCAGTGACGCCGCGAAGCTGGATTTCCTGAGCGATGTCCTGCTTCAGGCCGCCGATGTAGCGGTCGATGCGCCCGATGTAGGCTCTCATGCATATATCCCACCTGCTCGCATAGCGCCAGAAACCCGCTCGTGTAGTCTTGGACGGAACCGAGTTGGCGCCAAGTGCGGAGCCACTGTCGCGCCGCGATCGAAGCCGCAATTGGCTCGAAACGAGCGCGCAGACCTGCGCACCACGCGTCCCACGTGCGATACTGGGGCACCTCCACGAAATACGACGGCGCCCAGGGTCCGGTTTGTCCTTCCCGTGTCGGTAGAGTCGCGTAGTCCACTGGCTTTGTGACGATGACATGCCACAAGTCCATGGCGGGTCCTCGCAGCAACGACACGGCGTAACGAATCTTCGCCGTATCCTCCGAGACGTAGTTCGCATCGAAGAAAACGTTCAACGTGAAGAGCCACGTCTGAACGGTAGGACCACCCCGTTGACTTGGGTCAAAGCATGGCGGACGCTGCGGCTTTAGTGGCATCGGTGACGGAAGAGTTGATTCGCCGGCCGGCACTGAAATCGTGACTTGAGGCTGAGTCCTTGCCGCATTCGTCGCGTCGGGGTGTGTCGTGCCGTTGTCGCCGTCTCCGTCATGGCGGACGACGCCATCACTTGCGGCGCTCGCGGGTTGCCCCACACTTCCGTGCTGTGATGTCTGTGGTGCGGGCTGAATCGGAATGCCAGGTGCTTGGGATTGTGCCCGTGTGAGGTCGTTTTGCAGGGACGAGCGTTCTGCCGTCAACGTCGCAATTTCCTCGGCGCTCTCGCGGATTTGTTGCAGCAGATCGTTCAAGTGCTCCTGCGTGAGAGTCGTGACGTTGATATGTTCAGCCATTTCGAATGGCGTCGGCTCGTCTTAGTCTAGGCGCAGTCGTGGCTGCACGCGCGAGGACAGCGGCTCCTAGGTGCTAAGGTACGTGAGTCCCTTCGAGTGAAAAATCAAAAGTTGATTTCCTGGGGTGCGGAGATGCGCGGTTCGTAAAGAAAGAGGCTCTGAATATCAAGTGTTACGGGTGCAATAGATATAGGTAGCAAGGATTGCACTAAAGGTGTCAAACGAGTACAAAATGTGAGCGAAGGCATGAGCGAACATTTATACGCGAAACACGCAAATGGTAACGTGGTGCGTGTGAGCTAGCTAGTGCTATGCTGGAAGCGAGGCTCGGGCTAGTCCCGAAGCGTAGGCCGACACGGCCAGGCCAGCAGTGCGAGGTTTGGTGAAACAGTGCGCGCAAAGTCGGCGAAGCCCCGTTAGCAGTAACGGGTGAACAACGGCTGCTGCTATACGCGATGTTGCAGGGTGCGCTAAGGAATATCGAGAAAATTCCTTACAACAACCCATTTTTTCCCCCACCCCCTGAGTTTTGGCACGAAAGATACTAATTCATTTGGTGGGTGATGGTTCAAAGATGTACAGAACCTTTCTCCGCCGCACATACGGAACCATAAGTAAACAAAGACGCGCTCGGCACCTCCCCAAGGAGTTTCCCCCAGCCATCCTCCCGCCAGTACCTACGGGTGCTGGAGCGCGGGAACGCTCCAACTCCCCGTGTTGGAGGAAATGTGTTGGAGGAATGAACTGGCAAGCTGACCGCGGGCAAAAAAAACTGAAACCCATTCGGACCGGCATGCCGTTCGGGAGCCTCAACCCTGAAATTTCAGGGTTTTGGCTCCCGAATGGCATGCCCTCCATGCGGGGTTTATTGATTTCCTTGCCCGCGGTCAGCTTGCCAGCTCATTCGACTGCCATTTCCCACGCACTCCCCAATCCCGTTGACGTCAACGCGCCATTCCGCCAGCACCGTCACCGTCATTTTTGTCCCCAAACCCGAACGATGGGGGCTATGCGGGTCAGGCAGGTCCTGGAATTCTAACGGTGGCTGGAACCGAACCGTACCGTACCGTAAAACTGTCGTGAGTCACGCAACTGTACAACCGCACACACTGGTTGTGAGTCAGCCTTCACTCATCAACCAAAGCCAGCCCAAACCAAACCCAGCAGTCTGCCTGTACAGTATGGATGCTGATGCGTGCTGTAACTGAAAATAGTCGCAAGAACATAGCAGACTGCCGAAAAGCATCCGAGTTGCTTGGCATTTTCCGCCAGTGCGTTTCCAGGTTTGTTGAAGTCTTCCGCCTTCGTTTTAGCCTGAAGGCAGTGATGTTCGTCTCGTTCTTCTTGCGTAGTCTTACGAGGTCACAAATGTTAGCCAAGAACAAACAGCAGACTGCTGCACCAGGACGCACGCGTATGAGGGCCCTGTTCGACTGGCGCAAAGTTCAGCAGCTTTACCTGGAGTCTGTCCGGATTTTCCGCACGTACACGAGTGACTGTATGGAGGATCAGCGATAGTTCGTTACTGGTTACTTGGCCCAACCCTACCTCTTCAACTCCCTTCCACGGACGCCTTTCCCTGAAACAGATTTCACCTCGATACAGTCACTCCTTTCCAAACAAAAAGCAGCTACTACACTTGAAGCAACAGCTCTTTCAAACAGAAAATTACAGATTTCCACCTCGACTGCCATCCCTACTCCCGGAACTCTGAAATACCTCTGTGCTCTACCCGGTCTGTTACAAGATCAGATCCCAGAGGATGTCACTCTGGAGAAGCTAGAGGCGGCCAGGCAGGCAGCGCCGCCGCCGTTCATCAAGCTGGACCACTACAACGCTCTCATGGAGCTGCTGGGAGGGCGGCGATTCGAGCAGTTTGAAGTGCAGGGGACGGGAATAGAGATCAAGGTGTATTCCAGGGTTACTAAAGCGTTTTCGTGTGTTTTTCACCAGTCTAGAGATAAGCTGAAGAGGTGGGTGGTGAATGAGATAGTGGAGAATGGGACCCTGGATGCCATTGCGTTTGGATGAAACCATGAGTTGTGTAGCTTCTGGGTTGATTTCAGTAAAGCTAAAGTCCCTGAGGTGTAGCTTAGCTGCTTTAGGCTGCCATTTTATTTTTGAAACAGCTGTTGAAATGTTGCAATCTCTCTCTTTGATGTAGCTCAGAAGAGCATATCAGACCTCTCTCTTATCCCACCCCACGTGTTCTTGCCACAAGTAATTTCAACTCTTTTGCCGAAGCATTTTTCCCCTGTCCTTGCACTGCAGTGTGAATGCACCCCCTCACTCCTCACTCCAGGGCCAACAAAATTGCTGTTGGGCTGAAAAAGCCCTTAGGATCTTTGCAGGGGTGAACTCTGGGTAGAGTTGGTGTAGTAGCGGAAGCGTTAATAAGGAGTTGTGAACCACCTTGCGAGGGCAAAGTAAGTTGATTAAAACAAAGAGATACAAGATTATATAAGAGTACAAGGAATACGAAGAGATACGGTTGTAACTGTTTTACTTGTTGCTGTTGCGGTTCGATACAGTGACGACTCGGGCAACTTCTCTGTAGCGAGTCAGTTGTGTGTCCTTGCTGTCGCGCTGTACTTGTCAGGTCTAAGGTCGCTGACCTTTGACTTTCGCGTAACCTCCAGCAGTTACTTCAACCTCCGAGGGTTGACTCGCCGGTGCCTCGATATGCTTTGCTTCGCTTGTGCCTTAGTGTTTCGACATGACAGAGGCGCTTAGGACCGATTGTTTCCAACACTCCCCTTCACTTCTGGAGTGTCGCTGACGTGGCTCTGTCCAGTCAGCAGCATGCAGTATTCGAACTTCTGCTTTCCGAGCTTCTTGGTCAGGTAGTCAGCTGCCAACTCGGACGTGGGACAGTATGGCAGCTCGAGCCTTCCCTTCTCGATCTCGTCCTTCACGAAGAAATATCGCAGGGCGATGTGTTTTGTCCTGTTCGCAAAGCCGTTCTTGTTGGCGATGCGAATTGCCGACTGGTTGTCGCAGAACACGGTAAAGTTGGGTAACTCGGCTAACTTCGCTTCTTGGAGCAGCTCGGGAAGATAGAGTCCTTCCTTGGTGGCTGAGCAGAGTGCAATATATTCTGCTTCAGCTGAGGAGAGAGCAATTAGTTCCTGCTTGCTTGATTGCCAGGAGATAGGTCCGATAGGTTCGAGACGGTAGATGTAGCCGGTGCGGGAGCGCCTATTGTCAGAGTCGCCAGCGTGATCAGCGTCGACGTAGCCGATTAACTTAGTCGGTGTGGTTGCGTTCTTGTAGTAAGTTAGGCCGATCGTTGGGGTGCTGACGAAGTAGTGTAGAGCGCGGTCGAGCTCTGCCAGGTGTTCTACTTCAGGCTTCTTGAGGTAGGTGGCGAGCTGGCTTGCGGAGTATGAGAGGTCGGGGCGACAGGTGACGGCTGCGAAGAGAAGACATCCCAGCTTCTTCTGGTAGTCTCGTATGTCGGCGGGCTTAAGTAGAGCGGAGTTTCCTTTGTCGTTCCCTGCCGTGTATCGGTATGGCGTGGAGATGGCTGTCGGTGTGAGGGTGAAGCGTTTGGCGATAGTGTCAGCGTATTTCTCGGCGCTGAGGTAGATCGCGTCCTCCTCTTCCCGGATGTTGAGGCTGAGGTACTGAGTGACGGTAGATGAAACTGTGAGCGAGAGATCCCGTTGCAGCTCCCCTTCGAACCAGGTGGTGATGCCGTCAGTTGAGCCAATGTAAAGGAGATCGTCCACGTAGACAATTAGTAGGATGTAGTCGTCGTTTTTAGTGAGCCGGTACATGCCTTGATCGTGCGGTAGTTGCTTGAAGCCGATGCGGATGAGGCGAGCGTGCAGGTACTGTTGCCACAGTTGCGGAGCCTGCTTGATGCCGTAGAGTGACTTGAGTAGCTGGCAGACTTGGTTGGGTTCTGTGTGGGAGCCGTGCGGTAGCTCGACGAAGATTTCTGCATCAACAGGTGCGTAGAGAAACGCGTTCGCGACGTCGATTTGTCGTAGCTTCTTCTTCTTCATGGCGGCGATTGCGAGGAGAATGCGTAGAGAGGTGTGGCGGCTAACCGGAGCGAAGGTTTTGGTGAAGTCTCTTCCGTGCTCTTGGTCGAAGCCGCGTACAACCCAGCGAGCTTTGAATTTGTCAATGGTGCCATCGGCCTTTGTCTTCACACGGAAGACCCACTTCCCGGTGAGCACTGTCTTGTTCCGTGACACGCCGATAGGAACCACTTTCCACGTGTTGCGTTCCTCCAGTGCCTTCAGCTCCTTGTCCATGGCTTCGCACATTTTTTCCTTATGTTCCCCCCCCAGAGCCTGTTGAACTGTCGCAGGCTCTTTAGGAGTGGCGGTGCCGTGGACTGCAGTGACGAGTCCGAGAATCTGCAGTCCACTCTATGAGTAGCGGGGAAGATTTACGTCCTCGGGATAAGCTGCTTCATCTCCCGCTTCTGGATCAGGTATGAAGTTCGGTCCTACTCGTTCTGCTTCGTTGGTGTTGACTGTCGCAGGTGTTACGTAACCGTTGTCGGCGAAATGGTAGAAGGTTTCGGCGTTGGCACTTTTGCGAGGGTTGTCTTCGTCCATGGGAACGTCGACGGAGCAGAACGGGAGAGGTCAGGCTTCTTCTGATGCGTTGTCCACATTCTGCTCGTCCCAGTCAGCTTCGTCCGCTGCTGAGGCGAAGGCTCGGTCACCACGAAAACCACTTGTGGGATCTTCGTCTTCTTGCAGGTTGGCAAGGTATGTCTGGAGCGAGAGTCGTTCATAGAAAATTACATCACGTGCTGGTACTGTTTCCTTAGAGTGGACGTCGAAGATTTTCCACGCGTTGTAGTTCTTTTCGATTCCCAGGTGTAGTCCCCACTGTGCTCGTTGAGAAAATCGGCCCGCTCGTGCTGCTGGTGGTCGGTACTGTACCATGCATCCGAATACTCGTAACATTTTTCTGCTGCCCTGTTTCCCTGTCCATAGTAGATGTGGTGATGCGTTGTTCGGAAGCGATGATGACGACAGCAAGTTGTGCAGCATGACGGCGTGGTCCATTGCCGCAAGCCACTGGTGGTTGGGTAGCCGCATGCCACGTAACAGTTTGCGCATGCTATTCTGCAAGGTCCTGTTCATTCTCTCTGCTACACCTTGCTGCTGATGGGCGTAGGGAAGGGAGATGAGCCGCTTGATTCCCCTTTCCGCGAGGTACTGCTTGAATCGCTGAGAGGTGTATTCTCCTCCTCCGTCTGACTGGAAGCTTTTCAGTTTCACGCCCTATTCTCTCTGCTACTGGTAGCTAGGCAACGAAGGCTGCGAATGCCATGTCGCGGCTAGGGAGGTTTAGGTGCCAGACGTAACGGGTGGCGGCGTCGATGAAGGTGATTGTGTAGTTGTATGTTACTTGTCCTGGTTCCCGATTGAACAGGATGTCGCTATACACCTTCTCGAGTGGTGCGTACGCGGGAGCGCACGGGTTGTGATGAGACGCAAACGGTCGATGTGGTAAGTCACCTTCAGGGCAGGTGAGGCACGTTCCGCGTACTCGTTGAAGTTCTCGTCCGTCGGTCAGTAGGAGTGAGTCCTTGTTGAGTACTCCTGCTCTTATAGTATTGTTTAATACTGTGTTGCTTGGGTGTCCCATCCTTGCGTGCCAGGTGCTTTCGTCGGCGCGATGTCCGGGTGATCGTCGGTACATATCGGAGTTGGAGTAGAAGTTGGCGGTGAAGTTGGCACTACGATGAACTTCTCATGGTGCTGGGTGTAGTTGTTGCGCGGGTGTCGGTGGTGTGTCGTCGATGAGGAGCGGTGTCGTTGAAGGACCAGCCATTCGTGTTGACGTCCCTGCTGCTGCCGTTGATTGTTCTGCTACTGCTGATGTTGTTGCTGCCGACGTTGTCTCTGCTGCTGCCGATGTTGTCTCTGCTGCTGCTGATGTTGTCTCTGCTGCTGCCGATGTTGTCTCTGCTGCTACTGATGTTGTCTGAATTGTTGCTAACGCCCTTGTTCTTTCTGCTTCGGGGATGGTGTGTGAATACCAGAAGCCTTCTGGACTGAAGTCTAGATCAAGGTCTGGAGGGTGTGTCCAGTTGGTGAAGTTAACGATGGCGTCGCTGTCAGCGGTGCCAAGGTCAGGAACTAAGTCAAGAACGAAGACGTTGTTCTTAAGGACCGCCTTGCCGATGTAGAGTCCTCCTCTCTCGTGATAAAGCTTGAATTCTTGGGTGGTGCTGTCTGCTTCGAGGTGAATCCCTTTCGCCATTAGCTGACTGACGCTCAGTAAGTTGTAGCCGAGTCCCTCCGCGATTAGTACTTTTGACATCTACAGTATAACGTTTGTTTCTCTTGACTGAAGCTGAACTACGCCTTGTCGTCGTGTTCGCAGGTTCTGATTGTTGGCGACTATAATGACAACTTCGCGTTGAAGTTGGTGTTCTCGTTGAACGAAGCGTCCCGAGGAGCACATGTGCTGTCCGCAGCAACTGTCCAGGAGCCATGTGTCCCTCCCGGATGGTTCGCTTTGGGCGATGGCGGCGTATGTCGGGTTCGCCTGAAGTGACTCGCGGCGGGGTGTGGTTTCGTCGAGTTGTTCTTCCGGTGAGTAGTGTGGTGGTGACTCGGTGATGCAGGAGTCACTCAGCTTTGCCATGCAGCTGACGATGTTTCTGTCAAATCATAATGTTCTGTAGGCTGTAGTGGGGTAGCCACATGGGGTAACCAGTTCTAGGGCTGCATATTTGTACCACATCCCATTCCTTAGTCCAACCATTCTCGTTTCAGTTTTCTCAAGGTATCGAGCAGGTTCCCTCGTGGGAACTGTGCCTAGGGCCCACCAAGTCGAAAGTTTTTTTTTCCTGCCCGGAGCGCGCTCAGCCCGAGTCGCGCTCCCCTCTCTGACTCCGTCGAGCCGCCCTAGCGGCCAAGTCGCGCCGCCTTAGCGGCCCCTGATTCGTCGCCGTAGCGACCCCGTCGCCCTACCTACGGCCCCGGCCCCGTCGCCCTACCTGCGCCCCGGCCCCGTCGCCCTACCTGCGACCCCAGCCCCGTCGCCCCACCTGCGACCCTTGCCCCGTTGCCATACCTGCGGCCCCGGCCCTAGCCCCGTCACCCTACCTGCGCCCCGGCCCTCGGCCCCGTCGCCCTGCTTGCGACCCCGGCCCCGTCGCCCCACCTCCGACCCCGGCCCCGTCGCCCTACCTGCGCCCCGGCCCCGGCCCCGTAGCCCTACCTGCGTACCGGCCCCGTCGCCCTACCTTCGACCCGGCCCCGTCGCCCTACCTACGGCCACGCCTCGCCGACCTACCTGCGGCCCAGCCGCCCTACCTGCGGCCCAGCCACCCTACCTGCGGCCCCGCCGCCCTACCTGCGGCCCCGCCGCCACACCTGCGGCCCCGCCGCCCTACCTGCGGCCCCGTCGCACTACCTGCGGTCCCGGCCTCGTCCCCTACCGCCCGAGCCGCCTACGCAGCCGAGCCGCCCGCGCCGCTAAGCAGCCCGAGCCGCCCGTTCCGCCCGAGCCGCCCGAGCCGCCCGAGCCACCCGAGCCGCCCGAGCCGCCCGAGCCGCCCAAACCAGCCGAGCCGCCCGAGCCGCCCGAGCCACCCGAGCCGCCCGAGCCGCCCGAGCCGCCTGAGCAGCTGAGGAGCCGAGCCGCGGGTGCCGCCGAGCCGCAGTTGTTGCCGAGCCGCCCGAGCTGCCCGAACCGCCCTGTCTGGTGAGAGCAGCGCCTCTGTCACTGCACTGCCCCTGCTCTACAGTTAGCGTTGCTAGTCTACTGCTATCATGGCTACCCGCAGTGTTCTCACTTTTGACGCTGAGGGTCGGGCCATTGACTTTGACGTCTGGGTAGATGACATGCAGCTTTTCCTACAGTGCGATAGGGCAGACGGCCTCTCCCTCTTTGACCTCACCTCTGGTGCTTCCCCTGCCCCTGCTGCCGATGCTGACGCCACTGTTCGCTCATAGTGGGCCACATGCGATGCTGCTGCATGTCTTGCTGTGCGTCGCCACCTGCCTACCACTGAGTGCGCGCACTTTAGTCAGTACAAGAGTGCTCAGACCTTGTACGACGCTGTAGTTGCGCGCTACTCTTCCCCTGCCACTGCTGCACTGAGCCGCCTCATGCTACCGTACCTCTTCCCTGACCTTGGTGCCTTTCCCACAGTTGCTGACCTCATTACGCACCTCCGCACTAGTGACACTCGCTACAGCGCTGCGCTTCCTGCTGAGTTCTGTGCCAGGAACCCCCCCCCCATATACATCACTCTCCACTACATTGTCACCCACCTCCCTGACTCCCTTCGTGTAGTCAGAGACCACTTCCTCTCAGTCTGTCCCACCCCTCTCACTGTTGACCTCCTCAAGAAGGCCCTCTTAGCAGCGGAGAAGATCATAGTCGCTGTAGGAGCCTCTCGTGGTGACCCTCGCACCCCCATCTTTGAGGGGTGTTCCCCCTCGCCCCTTTATCCCTCTGTTGCCTCTGCTGCTGCGACCGACCTCGTTGGTCTTGAGTCGGTCGGTGCGGCGTCTACCCCTAGCGGGAGACGCCGCTCTGGCAAGGGCAAGAGGGGCTAGGGCGCTGGAGGAGCTAGCGGGGGTGGTGGAGGCGGCGATGGAGGCGGCGGATGGAGTGGGGGTGGCGGTGGGAGTGGTGGCGGGGGTGGAGGTGTCGGTGGCGGAAGTGGAGGCGGAGACGGCGGAGGCGGTAGCGGTGGGAGCGGAGGCGGCGGTGGTGGCGGAGGTGGAGGAGGCGGTGGTGGAGGAGGTGGAGCTGATTGGGGTGGCGCTCGCAGCAGGGCGGCTCCGGTGGTGGTCAGCGCTAGCAGCAGCAGCAGCAGCAGCAGCAGCGTTCTCGGGACATCCCCCCCCCGCAGCAGCTCCGTGTGTGGTACGCTGCACGTCAGCGTGGTGGGGGTACTAGTCCGTGCACCTACGTCCTACGCACCGGCGACCGGGCGGGTGAGCAGTGTGGGGGTGCACACCCCACCCAGTGCTGCTTCGGCCTCCTGACGGACGCTTGGCGTCACCAGTTCTCGTAGGCCACTGAGATCCCCTGCTGGGGTGAGCTGTCTAGGGTGAGTGTAGCTATCTTTGATCTGGACTTTGATGCTGTTCTTGCTGCCATGTATGCTGTGACTATTAGTGATGAGGGTGACTGCTACCGGTGTTTCCCGCCCGACCCGGGCATTGAGACTGCTGCTCTAGGTACTGGTGAGGCTGCTGCTCTAGGTGCCAGTGAGGCTGCTGCTCTAGGTGCCAGTGCGTCTACGTCCTCAGGTGCTCGTGAGTCTGCGCTCTCAGGTACCGCGCCGGCTTCGGCCTCCCTCACCTTCACACTTGACCTAGGGGCTTCTCGCTCCTTCTTTCGAGACCGCACCACACTCACGCCGATTGGTCGGCCGGTTGCAGTCTCCCTGGCAGACCCCTCTGGGGGTCCTGTCCTTTCTCACTTCTCCACTGTCCTCCCGTGTCCGGCGGCCCCCTCTGGCACCTTGTATGGTCTTTACCTCCCCTCGTTCTCTACGAACCTGGTGAGTGGTGCTGACCTACAGGATGCGGGGGTTCACCAGTTTACTCCTGCGAGTCAGCGGGTGACCCAC